TTGCGTAGGAGAGCTAAGGGTTCCTTCTTAGGAAAGGGAAGAGACAGACGGACAGCAGAAAGCAGCCCCGTTCCCCGTCAGCAAGGCCTAAGAGATTAAGCTGGATCCAAACTTCCAGTCAGGCCAGCTGAAAACACTCGAGTTCTTCAAAGACCTTGCAAGCTCAGCAGAAAGGATGGACACAACAAAACGGGAACGAAGACAGGAGGTTTAGGAGGAGAGACAGAAAGGAAGGTCAAGGATTTGGGATATGTTCAGACCCCATCCTCAGCTCCCCTGTAACTCACACTGTAAGTTAAGCACTAAGGCATCTTAAACTCTAACCCTATCTTTACTAATGCTGAGCTAACAACTACAGCAGAAGTCATCCAGGCAGCAGAGAAATTGAGGCGACCATAACGAGGGGTGCAAGCAACGATCAACAGGATGACATTCAAGAGCAAAACAGACTCCCAGACTGTATTACAGAATCACAGAATCATAGAATCACCAACTTACGCCGTAAGAGCTCCCGTTGTAACACACTGGAGGTTCCTAGGTGGAATGTTAATTGACGTCTAACAAACCAACACACACGGCCAAGCGTGTAACTGCAACCCAGTGACCCACGGTGCTCTTCACCTCCACCGCGTTAATCTCAGCTCACCGCAATCCTCAGGCATTAATTCAATACCGAAGGGATAAGCAACCGGCGTTCAAAAAAGGTGTAATAATTTCAGTAATTTGCTGGATTCCAGTTGCTGTGGTGAAAAAAGGGCAAAGAGATTGGTCCAGTTGAACCTGTCTTAATTTTAATATCCTGTTGGGCAAACGCAGGAAGCAGATCAATGAGGTTGGTGCCGATACGAGATAAAGCGTAACCTCTCTGAATAAAAACAACCCTTCTTTATAAAAGCGTTGCCTTCGTTTTGTTAAAAAACTAACTCGCTGAGCTTCGCTGCCTGCAGTTCAGAGTATTGTCAGTGTCGAGCCCTGACTGTGTTTCATATACCTGGGTTGCAACACTCTCCTAGCTTGCACCAGTTTGTAACTCAGACCTCTGCTTAAAAGCCTTTGGCACATTTCTCTTCCCAGCACTCGTCCAGTTCTTCTTTGGCAACCACAACGTCCCGAGGAGGCAACTTCCACAGCTGAGCTATACGCTGCATCCAGAACCTCCCTGCCTGGGTTCATCCTCAACCTCCCATCGTGGGCATCCGCTGCACCAGGACCTGTGCTTGCTCCGGAACAAGGTCTGGAAACTTTTCCCAAATCCTGTCCGCCTCTTCCCGATACGGACCGATGGCCTCAGTCTCGCTGTGGCACTGCCAACAGTGCCCTTCAAAGCACTCCCTCTGGCAACGGTTTCATAAACCTCCCGCTCCTCAAGACCCCGGCACAGATCCAGACGTCACTGTGAGCAACAGAGAGGGGTTCACCTGCCCCCTTCACCACCGGACCGCAGATTCGGTGGTTCCTGGCACTGTCTGAACCCAGCCCCGAGCCCTGGGAGGTCACCTCTAGTCTCTGGGGTGCTGGAACAGGAGGTGTCACCCCGACATGCCCAACAGGCAACTCCTAAGATCAAAGCAAGGGTCATACCAGAACTGGCTGCCTAGAGGCACGCCGAGGAGGAGGAGGAGGCGAGGAAGATGAATTCCCGGCAGACACTCCTCGGCAGGCAGGCGAAGGTTCTCCAGAAAATCCAAACACAGCTCCACAGCAAGGGAAACGGCCCAGCTCCCACGGACGGAGTCACTTGAAATTGCATATGGCAAAAGTTGTACAAACAGCCTTCCCTAAAAGCACCTGTCTTCTGAAATGGGAAAGTGAAGGTGCGTGAACTGCAGCAACCCTCCCCCAAAAAGCAGAGGCTTTTTTCCAGGCTGTGCGGATCCTTCTTTGCAGCCTCCGCTCCCTGAGCGGGCAAATTGGGCAATTTAATTCTCCAGCCAACTTCTACATGAAAACTTTCCTTGCTCCACAGGGGCTCCAAAAGCTGAGATCCACCCCCCTCACCTTACAAACACACACGGCAACCTCACAAGTTGAGTGTGAAGTAGCAAACGATTTTATTATAGTTAGTAAAAGGCACTTTTTTTTGTTTTTTTTTTTTTTTTTTAAAAGATGTGCAGGGACACAGTTCCCTCCTGCAGGTTCACCTGCTGATTACGCTTTTAAAGTGCGACATCACAACTGTGAAAATACCGGCACTTCACAGCAGAAAACTGAACGTGTGCTTTTAATCAAGTCCGAAGTGGTGATAAACCATCTGTTTCGCAAGAGTGATTCGACGTGAAAAGGCAATGCGTACAAGGAATTGCTAAAAAGTAGCGGGGAAATACACAAAGAATTTTGCAGGCAAGTAAAGCATCAGAGAAGACGGCCTTGGTACGGATGCTGCTGGTTTGGGATCTCACGGATGTCCTCCAAATCACGCAGAAAGCGTGCGGAGAAGGCACGCATCCCCTCTCCTTAACGAATTTTGGGATGGATTCTGCAGCGTGGTTACGCAGGCTCACGTACTCTGCTTTACGATACGTATCCTGCTTTGTTTCGGTGCAATAGTCAGTAGTAAACATGAGCCTTTTAACAAGGTGAAAGCATTTGGGGAGATTTCGTTACCCGCTGCAAATAAAGAGCAATTTTTAGCGCCAAAACCTGCAGCTTTCACAGGGAGGCGACAGGTCTCTACAACCCCTCGCTGACAAAATGATGAAAGCTGAGGGAAAAAAACAGCTTACTGGGACTGCTGATGGGGAATCCCGGGTTCTTCTCCCTGCTTGCGGGGAGGTTTTGGACAAGTCACCAAGATAATATATCTTCAAATGGGGGAACATTCCCCACGCTCCCTCTCCCAGCAGAGGAGGTCAAGGGTATTTGAAAGCACTGTCCCTTCCTCCGACGGATAAAGCGCCGGGCACTGAGCAAGCAAAGTTCACCTGGAGAGCAGCCCTGTCAGATCGAAATCAACACCTCACTGTCGCAATGTATTTTTTGTCCTTACCGTTTAAGAAAGGCACTTCTTGCATTTTGGGGCAAAGGCAAAGCGTTAGGAGTGCGGATCAGCCCTGCACTCCGTCGTGGGGCTGACGGACCCTTCCCACCGCAGGCCAAGCTCCGGGCAGGACGGCTGCGCTTTGCAGCCAGGCGCCGGGGACCTCATCTTCCTGCCAGCAGGAAGGTCGTGTTTCGGGAAGCTGTGCCAAACAGCAAGAATCCATGAGGAGTAAGTTACCAGACACAGTAAAGCAGGGAAGAAGCAACAGCCTGGGTTAGGAGCACAGCCCGGCCGTCAGCACCTGGCCACTGCAACGGTTTAAAGCCCACGGCATCCTTGCAGACTCGCCGGATTCAAACTGTGCCAGCCCGTGGCACGAGCCTTCTGCCGTGCAAATCCACCACCAGATCACCAAATGTTTTGCTCAGTCCTGCGCTCCTGCCACAGCTCCCCTGTGGTCCCCCCAGCAAATCACAGGAGGGTGGGAACACTCGAAAGTCTGCGCTGGCATCTTTAGAGCTTAGAAAAGAAGAAATCCTCTAGCTGCAAACCCTCTAACGACAAACAAAGTGGTTTAGTTACTTTTGTGCCCCTGTGCTTTTGGGAGGTAGTAGATGAGATGGTGAATAACCTGCAGCGATAGAAGTGGGCAGCACTAAACTCTGCCTCGAGCTAGAAGCGTGTGCCAACAGCGACTGAGCGGGGCTGCTTCTGCCCCCAAAAGCTGCCCTGGGCAGGGGGAAGCTGGGGATATTTCTTTGGGTTTAAGGATTTTATCTTAGAAATCTTGCAGCCCAATCCCCTCGTGCTCCCAAGCTGATCCCTGGGAATAGCAGGGAAATTATGGGCTGGAGTTTTAAACAGGATCTTCAAGATAACCCAGAGCACCTCAACCACTGGGTGTGGCCTCCCTGCAGCACACAGAGTCGATCCTATTTGTGTCCCAGCCTGGACACAAGTTTCCTATATTCCTATCCCATAGCACCAGGTATCAGGAAAGGCGAGAACTACATCCAGCCTCCTAGCCAGGCTCAAAAAATACAGCCTAAAGATCAAAGACACCCAACAATCCTGTGTGGGACCAAGTCCACTTAATGCCAGCGTTGTGTGAAATGTTCCTCCTAAAGCATAATCCCTCTTTTCCTGGCTGGAGGGGGGTGAAACGAGGTTGATCCTCAAGAAAGCTGGTGAAGATGCGGCTCTTTCCTGACCCTCAGCTTCATTCCCAGGGTGTCAGCGCTGCATGAAGCGATCCCAGAGCCCATCCCTGATCCTCAGGACCAGGGGAGGACGCTCCAAAGCAAAGTACCGAAGCAGGACGACAGCTCCCGGGAGAGGGGAAAGCTTGCGCGCGGTCTGGCCTGGCACGTTCTCATCACGGGGGCATCTCTTGCTGCACCGGGGTCCTGCCTGCGCACCCAGTACCGGGGGGAAAGGAGGAGCAGAGACGAGCCAAGGCCCCAGCAGCAGAGCCAGAGGCACCCAGTAAGGCAAATTCAATGCAGGGCGCCTGGTGAAGGCTGCTGCGCAGACCCTCAGGCACGTTTTTCAAGCCAAAATGAGCAGAGCCAACAAAATCAGCGCCGCTTTTACAGGACGTCTGCAAAACCTCTCCTTGCTGCACTGCCTGGAGGGACTCGGGGTCACCCTTTGGACCACAGTGACATGTTTCCCTGGGGCCTCTTGGGACCAAACAAGGACGATGTGGAGAATTGCCATGAGGACTTTCTTTTTTGACTCACTCAAGGGATCACTCGCTGAACGAGACCCTCTCTGTGGGTGTAAAAGGAGAAGGCTACAGACAAGAAGATGGTTGGGAAGCAGGGGGGAAGAGACCCAAACCCAACAGCATCACGCAACCAAGGCCTCTTCCAGCAAAACCTTCCAGAAAGAGATTTAACAACGCCCCTACCGTCCCCACCCGCCGCTCTTCAGGCTTCAAACGCGTTGGCCAAATTCCTGCTATGAAGAGGAATCGCTTGGGCTGAGCAATGGCCGTGGCATCCCATCCGCTCCAGCGCTACTTCTGCAATCGAGCGTACACCAGAAAGGCCACAGCTGAAATCACAGCGATGCCCACAGCGGGAACGATGTACGAGAGGGACGGTCCGCTGCCGTCACCTGGGGGAACTTTGGCGGCGTGAGACGAGCCGGTCGCAGTGTCATGGTCCCTGCTAGAGTCAAAAACTGAAGAGTTTCCAAGGGGATCGGCTCCGTCTCGGAGGTCGCTGCCTGCCCCGAGCTGGGTGCTGGGGTAGTGGTCCACGCAGACCTCATGGGTGCCCAGGGAGGTGCTGTTCCAGCTGGGAGGCGGACGGGAGCGTCCACTTGCTCCGGCTGCCTCCTCTCCCCTGGGGTCTTCACGAGCCGCTGGAGCCGGACATCCCACGGAGACTCCGGAGAGCACTTCTCCTGAGCTCGAGCTATCCGTGCTCACCATGAGCGGGTCGCTGCGGAAGGTGAGGCTGTCGGACGCCCTGGAATAGGGGCCACCGGGCCCCCGAGAGCTCAGGCATCTACCGGCCGCCTCTGGGCTCTCCCAAGTCGTGGAGAGGAGGACGCCCGGCTTGCTGAGCTCCGCATCCCTCTCCACACTGCTGCAAGGTGCCCAGATGCTCGTGGCAGAGCTCACCCGCAAGGCCGGCCTCACAGACGTGCCTTCAAAGCTTCGTGGAACAGTCGGGAGAGGATCCACCGAGGCCGGGAGCACCTTTGGGAAACAACAAGAGGGGCTGGGTGCCACAGGGAGCACCCATTTGGCCTGGTCTTGGGCACCCACGTCACTCAACAAGCCCACTTCAGTGCTCAACCACCACATCTCCAGCCCCTAACAGCAAGGCTGGGTTGCAGGTAACTCCCAGGGCCGGGAGTGAGCGTGGCAGGGAGGTGCTGGGGCTCCGGGGAGCCTTTGGGATTTGGGGGAGGCCCGGGAAGGAAGGAGGGGGAGACAAGCAGCGAGTAGAGGGGTGGGAACAGGCAGCTGGAAGCCAGGAGACCAACTGGCAAGTCAAGGTGGGGAAATAAGGAGCCAAAGCCCAACAAACCTTGGGTCCCTTCTCCCTTGCTCCAAAATATAGCGTCCGGACAGGGACATGAACACAATGGGGGAAAAAAGCCCTGAATAAACTCACCAGCTCAAAATCTTACACCGCAACAGAAAATCTCCCGGCCAGGGGGAGTTAGAATCATCGAATTACTGAATCGTTTAGGTTGGAAAAGACCTTTTAAAGATCATCCAGTTCACAACCATTAACCTAACACTGCCAACTCCACCACTAAACCAATTAAGGGTAGAGTAGCAATTTCATGTTTCCTGGCTTGGTGGCTGGATTATTTTTTAATGAAAGTAAAAACCAGGAATCATTAAGGTTGGAAAGGATCTCTAAGGTCATCAGTCCAACCATCAACCCAACACCCCCATGCCCACTAAACCGTGTCCCCAGGTGCCACCTCTGCCCGTTTTTTGAACGCTTCCATGGATGGTGACTCCACCACCTCTCTGGGCAGCCTGTTCCAATATTTGACTACCCTTTCCGTGAAGAAATTTTTCCTAATATCCAACCTAAACCTCCCCTGGTGCCGCTTGAGGCCGTTTCCTCTTGTTTGCAAGGACCTGAATGAAACACAAGCGGCAAGGGGAAAGGTCACCTACTTTCTCCTTCGTGGGCACGGAGGACGTGCTGCTGGCTGTCTCCACCACGGGCGGGCTTTCCTCTTGCACAGGAGGCTTCACGGAGGGGTCGCAGGATGGGGAAGCGTCTCTGGGCGCAGGGGTAGCGACCGGGGTAGTTGTTTCCATCCAAGTGTCTGTCGGGGAGAAAAAAGAAAATGTATTCTGTTAATCAGGAGACCTAAAAAGTGAGTTTTGCTCTTTCCTCAAGGATGCTGTGACAGGATGCTCCAGAGCTGAGGAGGTGGCACAGGGAGCAGAACCCGGTGCTGCCCGTGTGGCCCTGGCTCTGCCGCAGCACCCGAGCTCTGCCGGTAGGTGCAGGTAAAAACCAGACAGCACCCGCCAAGCCAGCACCCCCAATCCCTTCCTCCCTTCGAGGCCCCAGGCTGCTGAAATGGGGGTGCAGACATTCAACTGGGGTGTTTTACATGGGAAACAAGTATTTTCTATGACCAGTAATAGGTAGAAATCATCGGTCACCTTAGAGTGCATCACAGAATATTAACAGAAGAATGAAGCTGGAGAAAAAGAAAGGTATATTGGGCAAGTTGTTTGTCTCTATATCTTCCTCCTTTCCTTTTTATGTCCCATAAACCTGAAAAATTGTTTCTCTGTCTAAGCACCAGCCCGGTACAGCATAACCAGAAATAGGATGGAGTACGCAACACCTGTCAGCGTTTCTGAACCTTGAGCTGAAATTACAACTGCGAAAGGACCAGAAGGGAAGCGCAATTTTTACACGAGAATCCCTGTCATGTCTGCTAAATCATGCCTCCACAAGAGCGCAGGGGCCACCAAGGCAGACGCAAGCTTCGGCTGTCCCGCACCACCAGCCACAGCTACCACCATTCTTTGGGAGGGTCCCCGTGGCCTGCCAGCGGGGCCCTACCCCACACCTGCACCCTCTCTGCCGCTCTCCATCCCCACCGTCACGCAGGACGGGCAGCTGGCAGCACCTTCAACCCTGCTCCCCGTTAGCGCGGCGGCTACATGGAACTGCCGGGAAGGAAACCCACCTCCATCTCCTCTGCGCTCTCGCACCATCCCAATCCCCTTCTGCTCCGCGTCGAACTGCTGCTGTATGAGGAGGGGGCTGCGCACATCCACGAAGCTGCCTGGGGGCTCGGAGCCGGGCGCGGCCTGTTTTTTTGGTGGTGAGGCTGGGGGCTGCGGCCCCCCGCTGCGAGCGGTCTCCTCCAGCCTCAGGGGTGATTCGGTGGAGACGTAGAAGTCCTCTTCGGGCTCATTCCTGCGCTGCTCAGGGCTGCGAGTAGCACCCGCGTGCCTCGGCGGAAGAGACCTGCCCAGACCCAAGCCCGG